AGTGTGCACCTGCGTTTTATGACGGGTGCCACTAAACTCACGACAACGGCACGACAACCGTCGTTCGTAATGGCGGTGGACGGCAGTGAGACGGTGATCGTGTGGTGCCGTGTGCAAGGTCACATATTTGCACTACAATAAAAAATTTTCGGTGCATACTAGTTGCGGTCACTCAAAATATATATCTAGTATATATGGTATATACCATGCTATTTTATTTACAAAAAAGTTTCAACGTTTTCCTTTCCATTTTATAAACAGACTTAGGGCTGTTTACACTATTTTTATCGTGTAGGTTTGAAATCACAGTAGTAATTGTGAAAAGTCACGCGGCAACTTCGGGTGAACATTCATTATTGCAGTGTGTATATTTTTTCTAATCAATGTAACGCCATTTGACCCCAGTTAGCTGCTCCACTGCTTTACGTTTAACACTGTAACTAACCTTTTGCCGTACCATTGATTGGTGATAATCTAGTTCGTGATTATACTACTATTGCAGAGGCGTATACAAGGGGCAATGTGGGGTCAGATCCCCCCCAAAGGTCTTTTAAAAATTGTTTAAAATAGTATTCTTAATGTAAGGAAATTACAAGGAAACAAAAAAATATTTCAAGGATTTATTGTAAATTATTATTTTGTCACATTCAATATATATATATATATATATATATATATATTTTATAATTTATTATTTTGAACGTGCAAGTCTTTTGGTTTAGAAATTTTTTTTCCATAATAATTTGTTTGCAATTGATCCCCTCCATACAAAAGTTATATGTACGCCACTGCACAATTTTATTTATTTTATTTACTAACTTTACAGATGAGTAATAGATATATGACCGCAACTAGGATATTACCTACAATTCGCGTGACCGCAACTGTTATATGTCCTTATCTCAAAAATCGTCTCTGACCGCAACTCGGATGCAGCCAAAATTTTGATCGTACGATATTTCACCGTACGGTCGAAATCGATGTGCGTGTAAATGGGCTTTGCAGTCGGTTCATTGTTTACATTAACCCTTCAGCGCCATTTCGTCGGCGTTCAATAACACCACCTGCCGTCACAAATCACGACCCTACAACAGGTACCCCAACTGGTATCGTATCGTTTTGCCTCTTGTACGTATCGGACATTCGGACGAATTCCAGTACATTATTATTACAATGATTATTACTTCGTTTATTTCCAAAGAGAACATAAACTATCGAAAATATTTAATACCAACAGTTTTTAATAATATTTGATACTTTCTGAACCCGAAATTTGACCAGCGGAGAATATTATAATCGTAGGTCGCCTTAGAATTGCACGGAATATAGAAATCAAACGAAACAGCTGTTCAATATAATTTTACGATCACAATATGTCTTTGGTACGTATTACGATTTTCGTCAAGAGAAACACTGGTGACCAACCTGTAGCAGACCCGCAATCTGTACATTGTACAGTGTACAATGTTGTCTTTTTCCACCACTATCCCCTATACCGCAACGTACAATACCAGTGTGGACGCCGTCGATTTCACTATTTATCGCGTCCCACGGCCGACGCTACATCGCAAAGGCTACCACCACCCTAACCACCACCCTAACCACCACTGACGCTTCCTCCCTCCAGCGCCTGCGCCAGAATCAAGGACGAACAGACAGCGCCGAACAGACAACGACGACAGACAGACGAACACGCGTTTTCTTCGTACACACCGTCCTGTTTGCAACCGTTTTTTTCGTCCGTCCGTTCGCGTCTTACGTTCTCGTCAACCAGCAATCGTTACGTTCTCTCAAAAGTCATGGAATCGTCGACATCACGAACCTCGACAAAGGAACATTCTCCGCCGATTGAAATCATCGATGTCTCAGGAATCCCCAAACCATCGACGTCACCAGCCTCGACAAAGGAATGTTCTCCGCCGATCGAAATCATCGTTGTTTCAGGAATCCCCAAGCCATCGACGTTACAAGCCTCGACACAGGAACATTCTCCGTCGCTCAAAATCAGCCGTTATGAAAACATCCGTATGGAAAGTCGTACGGATTCGCAACAGAGCGACGATTCTTCTTCGAAACGGTTCTGCGCACCTGCGCACCTGTTGGCCATCATGAGCAAGACCGATAATATCCCAAAACTCTTAGAATCTGGATTGGTAAATTATTGGTTTTTCTTTACATTTTTTTTTCAACGCCCTCTTAAAATGTTTTTGCTCGCCCCCCTCCCTTTCCCTTCATCGTGGGTTTTCGAGTTTTCCATTTGGAGTTTTGTGTCGGTCCGTAAAAACCAAATTGAACCCCCTCTTGAGCGTTCGGAATTAACTAGTTTAAAGACTCACGCACACAGAACGCGGTCTGTCGTGGCGGTCAGCGATCTGATGACAGCACACAGGCAGCGATAATTTGTAAGCGGTCTGCTACAACAGTCATAATCTAGTAATCTAGTACACAGTTGCTAATATCTGTCCACTTGATTTCATTTTTTAATAATCGCCATTTTACAATAATGTCAAGTTCTGACGAGGAACAACTTCTTTTATTACTTGCCCTTAAAAATAAAAGGAAAAACATGATATATAAAGACTATAAATATAGAAGACTATTCTATTAATAAATCTATTATATTTTACTTATGTTACTAATTTTAGTTTCTACTATAAAGTATATACTTACCGGTTATACCCAGTTCTTTAAATATTTTATTCCACGCTTCGGCTTTTTTTACTACATTTTTATATTTCTCGTGAGATGTGTCGAATAAGTACACACAGTGGCGTAATTGTGTGTGTGTGTATGGGGGGGACAAGGGGGGAAACACCCCTTCCGAAATTTTTTTGAGAGATAAAGGTATAATTTTGCCCCCCCTCCCTCCAGATAATCCAACAGTCCAAATAGCACCTTTTATTAATGAACTCTTATGGGTATTATTTAACAATATTGGTACCTAGTACCTGCTACCTACAATTTATGTTTATCTAAACTATAAAATGAGCTAAAAGACATGTAAAATCAAACAATTAGATATAGTGTATAAAATAAATACAATAAAAATATGTTTTAACTGATGAAGGGGAGGGGTGTCAGGGTTTTGGTAATAATAAATATATTATATTGCCCCCCTAGATTTTTCCCCAATCACGCCACTGAGTTCACATACTTTCTTACTTGCTTGATGAGCATTTCAATTTCTTCAGCCATTTTAAAAATATAATATAATTACAGTATAACAGAATATAAAAAAAACCAATAAATAACAATGGATCGACAGCTGCCCGCGTGGAATTTTGTACTTTTGTACAACGGTATCGCCTGTCGTTGCGATCTAAATTGTACCGCCGCGACAAAACGCCCACTGTGTGACAGGGATAATGCGATATTACGTATTACATCTTTACCGCCTTACCACTGCGGGAAAATATCGCTGACCACCGCGACAGTCACCTTTCCATCTTTTAGGTTAACCCATGTGTTACACACATTATCTCGCTGCCACGTGTTGTACCATGTCGACGTCCAGAGGCCAAGCATCGCATTTCGAAAACTCGATAAATTAATTAATTAAATTTTTGTATTTGAGCTTCAGTTTTAGTTCATATGCGAAACGCTTTTTCATTTTAGATATTTAACTCGGTGAATAATATTTATTAAATACATCAAAATAGGAAAATACAAAATTTATAAAATTGTAACCCCCTACCACTTCATCGTGTATAAAATAATTCATTGTATGTGTGTGTGAATATATATGCGTGCGTACATGTGAATTCATATGCGTACATTTTGATGACAATTTTAATGTATTAATTTTAATATGATTTTTTGCAGTCACGACGACGACCACTAATGATAACCGAGTCGATCTATACTGTTGGCGATCTCTTTAATTTTAAATTATTTGAAACCCGCCTGAGAGCGTTCATTGATAGAGGGAATACCAAATTTACACCTTATCAAATGGCTTCAGCTGGATTTGATTACATTAATGATGAAGAAGTACAGTGTGTATTTTGTTTCGTAAAAATTAAGAATTTATCGCAAGTTCATAATATAGAACTTACACATCGTGATTTGTCTCCGACATGTACATTTAATCAGAGACCATTCGGTAGGTATTATTTAATACATTATTAACTTTGACGTTTTGTCTCCTGGTTGAAATTATGTACAAAATGTTTTTTGATGTATAAATTATTATTTTTTGTGTTGTTATTGGCTGTTGGAAAATTGTGATAACTCGTACATAATATAATTAATATAATAAAGTACTATTCACCATTGCATAAATTTATGTTTGAGTAAAAAACTAATACTTTTAGTTGATTTGATTGATCTATATTACTGCGAGTATTTAATGATAAATGTAATTATAAAGTCTAGTCTTAATCAAAGAAAGTGAAAGCATTTTGATTAAGTGTGCCAAAGTAGAGGTGACCGGATCAGGTTTTAACACGGGGTAAATTGTAATATAGACTAGATAAATATTTGTAGATGGCTTCTGTAGAATTCTAATAAATATCGTTGGATTCGTAAATAATGATTATCATATGTTGTTGTTATCAGAATCATTATACAATTCATAAAGCGATAACAATCATAAACTGTTTTTATCACTTAACAGTGAAAACATTTTGTTACTTTTCGGCTTGTTATCACATTTATAAAATTTCAAAAACAGAATTTTAGTTACTAGTTAGTTTTAGTTACTCAAATCCAAATGTTGTAGAGTTTAAATTGCAACAACGCTCATTAATGTTAGTATTATACTACTTTTTTAATTACAATAAATATATAAAAAGTAATAGTGGGGTATAATGTAACAAATTGTTTGGGGCGAATATATTAAATATTAAATTATAATTAACAATCAATATTTACTGTTAAAAAAAAACTATATAAGCTCAAGCATAATTTTTTTTTTGTCTTATATAATTTGATTATTTTGTATATTTTACACTAAAATCTTTTGAATATTTTAAATATTTAATTAAAATTTTATAATTTAGGGCCAAATGTTTTTCGGATTTTGTACACTACAGGTTCATTTTATGAAGCTACTAAAAAGTTTTTGAAACTAGAGTGCGCTAAACCGACTTTTGATATAGTAAATATTAGGTATTCAAATTTTGAAAATCGCCTTAATACTTTGAACGATTGGCAGAAAAATGGTACCACTGATACTCATATGATTAACATTTGTAAAGCCGGATTTTATTATTCTGGTGAGTTTTGTTTCTTATTATATCTATCACAGTTTAAATTTACTAAATATACTTATCAACATTTTCAATATTTTTTTTTTTATTTTTTTTTTTTTTAAGGTAATAAGGATTGGTTTGTGTGCTTTTGCTGTGGTTCTAGTATAAGAGCTGAGAAACTGCGAAACGTGCCATGGAATTTTCATCGCACTATGAAACCATGGTGTCAATTTCTTATTTTAAGCAAAGGTCGACCTTTTTTAAGAAAAATGCATTTTACACATAATCCGATATTAGATGGACCAGTCAATGAAATGGTAAATATTTTAATTTAAATTTTTTTGTTCTTATGATCAAATATTAATTTACACTTTTTTTTTTTTTTTTTACAGAAATTTGAAGCACTAATAAATCATCTGGAACACAAAAATAATTGTTATATATTTGTAAATCATGAAAAAGAATTTAGGTTAGTTAAATTCTATTGTTTTATCTAATTCTTTGCCATTAAATGTCATATATTTTCTGTGTCGACTATTACAATAGACAGTTAGCTTTTTTTAAATCTGACAAATGTTAAATTTTTCGAACCATTGAAAAAGGAGTAAAAAATGATTACCATAGAAATTGTTTAACATTAAAGTTATATTTAACTATAAACTTGGATATTAATTTATAGAGATTCTTATAATCAAATTACTACAGTTCCTTTGTTAACTTAGCCAATAATGATGAATCATAATGTGTATTTTGATTAATTTTTAATCATTATCTTAACAATACATTACCAATATCATTAAATAAAATTATAATTTATATTTTGTGTAACAATTTGATACACTTGCTTTTTTTCTTAAATGTGTAATAACCATTTTTTAGGACTTAATTTACTTAAAATAGTTCAAATATATGCATATATATGTATTACACATTATGTTGACTTAAATAATTGTTTTTACATTTTAACGTTTTTAAAATAAATTTAAAAAAAAATCAATTAAATTAAAAAGTAAATTTTTAAATAAATAATTAATAAAAAGTAATTTTTTTCCATTGAATTAAAATTTAATGAAAAATTAATAGTTATCTATATCAAGAATATTCTTGTCGGTGTACCAATATTTATTTAATGTTTGTTTTTAATATTTTTATTAAAAATATAAATCCTTATTATAGATTCATTCTTGCATAAGAAATATAAATCCACACATAACTCATCTTAAATTTATAAAATATTAATATATTTTTATTAAATATAATTAAAGTTATCATTCTTTCCTATTAGATAATTTATATTAAAAATTCTTAATCTCATATTGTTATTACCGGTTAGCTAAATATAATAATAATATATAATAATAAATGTAATACTATATAAAAACTATACACATCATATTTTGGTTGTGTATCTAAATATTTAATTGTTTTAATAGTATATTTGCTGATTAGTAATAATAACTACTAATTTGGAATCCAATTTGATATTGAACATTATAATATATAATATATAATATATAAAATTATAATATAATAATATTTATATTTCATATTTATTGTAAAATACGTATAAAAAATGTAAGGGAATTTTATTTTATTATTTTAAGCTAATCTTATTTCAGTGGTTATCAAATTTAATATGAATATTATAATAATAATTATAAATAAGTTATTTATAAAATATGTTAAAATTGTTTTTACTTTATATTAGGTTGAACAGTTTATCAAAGCAAATGCGACCAAAGAACCCTATTATACCAAACTTTAAATTAGATGTTTGTACAGTAAATCCTAAACTAATGCAAAAGGAAATGTTATGCAGAATATGCGGCAAAGAAAGAATGGAAGTTGTCTTCTTACCATGTAATCATTTATATTCCTGCATACCTTGCAGTGTGAATAGTAAGGACTGTAAACAGTGTGGAAAAGAGTATTCATATGCTATACGCTTGTTTGTTTACTATGCCTATAATTATCATATTATGGATGGTACAATTACTTTTGTGCCGTATTTAAATCCGTTGCTGTGTAAAATGTGTGAATATTCTGAAATAGAAGTTGCCTTTATACCATGTAAACATCTTTACAGCTGTTTTGCGTGTGCAGCAAAATTGGATAAATGTCTGCTATGCAATATAAAAGTGGCTGCATATATAAACTTGAAACTTACATCTTTGTCGCCAGATTTGTAAAATTAATTTCATCGTAATAGAGTTTAATATTCATGAGTACATATGAATAATAATATTAAAATTCTAGTATCTAATTATGATAATAATAAATTCCAATGTATAATTTTTTTTTTTTTCAAATAAAATGTATAACAACTTCAATAAATATATGTGCATAATTTTTAATATTATTATAATTAAATATTTAATTTTAATTCTAGTCAAAGTTTTTTAATTTTTTCAATAGAAATAGAAATATGTTTGTAATTTAGTAATATTTTTCATTTAATATGTTTGCAAATAAATTATAAAATGATAGTTATTTATGTTAAATTTTTTTCATTATAACTTTGGGTTGCTCCAAAAAAATAATATGCTTGATCGATTCAATTTGATAACAGTCTCTACTTAAAATTAAAATAAAAACAGACTATTTATATTACTTCTCTTGTAGCTCATATAGAAATAGTACAAATCAATCAAAGGAGTTTAAACAAATAAACATTCAAAATACTATACCTACAACAATATTGTATATTAAATATTATTTAATATGAAATTACTAGAAATTGAAAAAAAATATATTAAAATTATTATATAAAAATTAATTAAATATTATATAGTTTATTTATAGTATTTTTTCCCAATTATTTCTGTGTTGTGAAGAACATGATGATATCTGAGTCTGTTTCCATTGGAACTGTCAAAAGTCCACAAGGGAAAAAGTGAAAAAAGTTAGTTATACAAAATTAGGAAGCTTACTGTCAGAATGAAAGATTTAAAGTTATTGAAAATATTTATAATACTTTGAAAAACAATAGAAAATTTTCGATAGAAAATCTTTAAGACTTGCATGTCAAAAACTAAAAGAACTATAAATTCGCTCCAGTATTTGTTTTCGGAGTATAAAAATTAATAAGTGAATAATTCTAAGTAATTTGTAATTAAAAATATTCAAAAAAATTTAATCACACAATTGGATGAGATTTAAAAAATTATTATATTATAAACACAATATGTATTTATAATACAAATATTTGTTTTGTTTTAAATAAGGTGAAATAAAAATAAAAATAATAAATTATGATAATAAATCTGTATTTTTTGGTTTTTAATGAAAAATAAAATATTTTTAAGACCTTATTTTAGAATTTTCGCATATTTTTAGAGCATATATAATCATATTTAAGGGCATAAATATATACATAAGTTTTTTTAGAGCATGAAGTCCCTATCCTACTTATTATTATTTGTTTTGTGGGTCTATCTGCCTATTATTCTTCTCACGTCTAGACATTTACATAAGATAACCGGAGCATCTGAGTTGGGTCCCGAGTAATAGGTGCTAATCGCAGGTAGTATACTAGTTGGGTCCTGGATTTTTATAGGTACTATATTAGTTGGGTCCTGAATTATTTTAGGTATTACACTAGTTCCTGAATATTTTTTGGTAAGTACTTCATTATACCAACATTTTCCTTCTCATTTTAACAGATTTAGACTGTCTATGATCTATTTAGACGACAAGTATGGTTAATAAATGTTTTTTATAGTTTTATTTTTTGTATTTTAGTTTTTTTTTCATTAAAATATAAATTATTATAATTGTGTTGGTAAAAATATTAAAAATGTTAAAAATTAAGTATAAAAATACATATTATATAATATGATTATAGCCATGTTGGTAAATTAAAAACTATTAAACATTTTAAACTCATTATATAATATAAATAAAAATTAATGGAAAAGAAACTAAAAATCAAAAAAAAAAAACTATATAAAATTTTTTTAACCATATCTGTGGTCTAAATAAATCATACAAAGTTCTAAGTCTGTTAAAATGGGAAGGAAAATGTTAGTATAATGTAGTACTTACCAAAAAAATATTCAGGAACTAATGTATACCTAAAATAATTTAGGACCTAACTAGTGTAGTATCTATAAAAATCCGGGACCCAACTAGTGTAGTATCTAAAATAATTCGGAACCCAACTAGTGTAGTAATTTTAAATTCGGGACCTAATTTGAATGCAGCAAAAAAAAAACATATTAAGGTTTTCAAGGGTTACAATTATAACAACTATTAATATTTCATTTAGTTATCTTGATCTATCTTATATTCTTTACATAGATAAATATTTTTGTGTATGTTCCTTTAGTTAAACTTACATCAGTTTGGTTGATTTTAACTCTCCTACGGCGTTGCTTTTTTGATTATCTAACTTAAGTGTTATTCAGGGTAATAAAAATAATATTAAACAGGTAACAAGAGAAATATTTTTATTTCCAGACAAACGTTACAAAGCAAAATTATAGTTATTTGTATTATATATTACATAACATGTGTAACGTCAAATAAAAAAAAAATAAAAATTAAGCTACTATAAAGTAAAAAAAGTTATTCCACTTTCATTCCTTTTCTCGAGAAATAATCGCTTCTAAAGGAATGAGTCATAAATTCTCCTATTAAAGTTCTTATCCACACTGGTGGCAGTCTCAGGAAAAAATGCTAAAATAATAACAACAAACATTAAACACACATTTTTATAATACGTTATAATAATATAATACTAATAATATTAATATATAATAATATATAATATTAATAACATAATAACATTGTATAACACTAAAGGCTATACCTGATCGTGGAGGGTTATTTGTTCGTCAATAATTGTTAATATTAAAAACATGTATTAATAATAAACGGCCTATGGGTTGTACAACTGTTATTGAGTGACGCAATCAATTGTCAGTGACAATTGACATAGACAAACGATTGGCAACATTATTATTAAATCGTTTACATAAAAGTACTACTTTTACTAAATAAGAGGTACATACAATGTTCATTAAATCTTTCGGACTTTTCAATAGGGTAGCACGTGAAACTCTAAATGCAGAAAGGTGACAAGTAAGTTTTTTCTAATTTTTCAAGACAAATAACTAAATGACTAATGAAATATTGAAGTAAAAACTTCGATATTTTTGCACTTTTTACTTCAATAACCTGAAAACGTCATTTAATAGTTTTATAATCAGTGGCGTAGTTACCAGAGTAGCAGGGGAAGCAACTGCCTAATAGCGCAGAATTTGTTTAGTATTTCTGTTGTACATGAATAGGTGAATTAAACTTACCGAGTGATCAAGTGAAATATTTTGATAAATTAATAGTATATACTTATTGATTATAAATTATAGTTTAATCGGTTAAACGATAGAAATTAATAGTATTCAAAAGTTTTATCAAGTGTTGTTTCTTACAGGCACGATGATGGACAGTCTTGGTTATAGATATTTAGATATAGATTGGACTTGTTAACGATTCATATATTTTCAACAAACTGATTTAATGAACAACGTCAGAAAAATGTAATAATACATAACCATAAACCTACTTGTGCAAATTGGCAATATAACAAATTGAACATGTGATCAACATGCACTTTGTTTTAAAATTAGTTCTTTGACCTAAGAATTGGTTTAAATTAATGATTTAGTGAATAAAACCAGTTGAACCAACAATAGATCCTTATTAAAATCTCTTTTAAGTTACTACGTTATTGACGGGGCATAGGGATGGATTTCAAATTGTTCCGTTTCAACGCACTATTCATCTAACCGTTCAGACATAAAATAAAAATATCGTAATTGACTAGTGATTTACTACTATTATGTAAGTGAAAATAATTTAATCGTCTTTTATAGCCTTGATGTAAGGAAGAAACTATTTTACTCTTTTTGTTTTAACAGAATTCGATTAGTACAATGATTTGTATTACTTGTCTTTTTGGAATCTATGTTAATAATTAAAACTCGTATGTCCAGTTGTCGGTTTTAAAAATACGAACATATGGTATTTTTCAATTTTCTTGTCTCATGTCATATGTCTATACATAGACAGTACATAAACAGTAAATAACATTTAATAACAGTTATATTTAAGTTGAAAGTAACTTTTTAATAATTCTTTTGAAGAATTTAAATATTAATTCAATAATATTAATTTATAAACGACTACCCATTATTTTACTTTCTTCTAGCTATACGAGTTTGAAACAAAAAAACCTTTCTACCAACTGCGTTACGAACAATAATAGGTAATACAATTAATTGTAATTAGCCGTATTAGGTACATAAGGAATTATGTTTACGTTTCTTTTTTTTTTTTTTTTTTTTTTGAGATTTTGGTGTTAATTTTTTAAACAGTAGTAGTTTTCAACCATTTTGAATCGTCTTCGAAATTAAAACTACTTTTTCACGTTTCTATTCTTCGACCGATCAAAACAATTTCACGACCCATATACCAGGACGGAGGACTTTCGATTTTAAGAGTGTTTATCTAACAATATTTGTATAACTATATAGTTGGTGACTAAACGATCGCTCACCTGAATACCGTGCGCCCAGTAACCGGTCGAGTGTTTCACCATGCCCAACGTGTTCACGGCGTTCACGGCGTACATCTTGGCGTCAGGCACGAACAGACTGGTCTCTTGCAGCCTATAACTGAAAGCGTTCATTTTCGTGTTGACGAACAACGGGAACAGGTGTTGCACAGTGATGTTGTCTTCCGCGTACTCGATTCGCAGTGCTTCTGTGAAGCTCTTTATGTACGACTGAAACACAAGACGGTGTTACGTCACAGCGGGTCGAAACGATTTCATATAGTCGAAGTTAAACGGCGTTGTTAAGCGCGAGAACGTCACTGCGACGGATTCCGTACGGAAGCCGAAACCAGCGAGCGACGCGTTTCTGGTTCGAACCATTTCGGCCACCGTAGTGTTATAGCACGAACTGTGGAGAAGTCTTGGCATTTTTTAGCATTTTGAAGATATAATATTTGTATTAGTTGTATTTTTATCCAAAAATATCAGTCGCAATAGGGATGCGGACTTTAAATATGAGCTGGATACTTATATTAGCATTAAATATACACTGTACGTACTAGGATAGTAATAATTTTAACTGCTAATATTGAATCATTCCAAAATCAAAGCTCAGAGATTTTTTTTTTTGTAAAAGTTTACTCCACCAGTCAGATTATAGAATTATTAGGTACTTCATACGTAGATTCTGATCAACCCGTTCTCCACTCAGAACCGTGTTTTCCATAACCAGTGATAAATAGATTTTAAATGTTTATATTTACCTATACCTGTACAAGCCATTTCAAAAATAATAAAGAACAACAATTGTGATTGTTTGGACTTGATAAAGTAAAAATTGTATTTTACTAACAAAGAATAGCACGAGAAACTCAACAATCGATCGTATGATTTGTAACAATTAAATTTAAAATTACGTTTTTCGTTTTAATTTTGATATTTAAATTGCCTATATAAAACCCCTTAAATATCGAGTATAACTATAATATGTGTATACTTTTTATTTCAAAATATTTATGGAATATAAAATATAGTCCTTTTTTAGTGTTCAATAATGTACTTAGAATATGTTATCTATGGAAAACGGTAGATTTGTCAATAAAATGTTTAAAAAAATTTTATACAACTTCAGTTGCACAGTTCTTAACCCGTTTTGATAAACTGTTTTTACAGTTCGTTATCGGCAACCGGCACGGCAGGTTCGATAAAGTTTCCATTCCGTAAATAACGTTTAGCGAAATTGCATCTGCATAAAGTGTTTAAAAATGCTTCTCGGACAAAGAGGGGCCGGTAAAACAGAGGTAAACTCCTCGCTCAAGAGAAAAAGAAAAGATAATCTCTTCCCAACGTCACCAACAAGTCTTCAATTAAGAAATAAAAACCGATATCCAACTTAGTGGACAACGAAGAAGTAAATGACATCACACTGGTCGATATTAACAACACACATTCCGAGGTAAGGAAAATACGACCTATATTAAAAATTACGAGCATTTTCACTTATCACTAGTAACTGTAGCCCTAGATGATTTTACAATAGACCAAAAAAAGAAATTCACTGAAACTGAAATTAACAACTGTAGACGACTACAGAGCTGTTACAAAAGAGTTCGAAATAATGCAAATCCAATACCACACTTATCAATTTATCAATTCATAATCTACCAGTTTCAATATCAGAAGAAACTATTTTCTTTATTTTGCGGGAGTTACATTATGAAGTGATTTCGGTCACGCCTATAAAACTATCTTAAAGTCCCTATATCAATAGTGGCTGTCCTTATCCCTCAGTCATCAAAACATATATACTCCTTAGATAGATTGCTGCACTGTCTTAGTTAAGCCACGTAAAGCTTTTTCAGATATCCCTCAATGTATAAATTGCCAACGTTATTCACACACAAAAAATGTTTGTCATTTACAACCGAGATGTATTAAATGTGCAGAAATTCATCATTATAGTACATGTACGAAAACAAAGGAAACTGCAGTTAAATGCGTAAACTACGAGGATAACCACCCATCTAGTTATAAAAGGTGCAGTTACAATAAAGACCTTAGGAAAAATATATCAAAAAAATAAAAAAAAAACCTATTCAAAAATAAATTACACAAAACACGTAAATAATAATATTAATCATAACAATCACATCACAACTGAGGTAAACATTAATAATAAATAATACAATAAGTAATGCTACCATAAATAAATCGTACACCTCAGTAACAAATTCGAAATTGAAATCAAATGAAACAAGTACCCAAAACATAGATAATAACTTTCTTAAATCACTAATGCCGTTAATTAACTCCTTTATAACATAGTTAATGAAGCAAATCATCGATAACTTTCCATCAATACTAAATAATCTAAGTATAAATTGCAATGAACTCCCATAATCTGATCATTATAAATTGGAACGCGAACGGTTTTAAAAAACAAAGAATCACATGCTACTTTTCTTAGCCATCATAGTGTAGATATCGTATGTGTTACAGAAACGCACTTGATTAACTCAGATACAATCAAATTCTCTGGTAACAAAATCTACTGTTATGACCACCCGCTTATTCGCAGACCAGCTGATGGAGTAGCAATCACCATACGTAATAACATTAAACATAATCAAATGCCAATTATTTTTGACCTTCATTCACTAGAAGTAATATCAATATCATTAACAATAAATAATAAATCAGTCACGCTCATAAGTGCATACCAATCGCCCAGCAAAATTATGTACACAAATAACTACGAAACTTTATTTTCCAAAAGCAATAATTTAATATTGCTAGATGATCTTAACTATAACCATACCAAATGGGGTTATATATCGATAAACTCAAGAGGACGCAAACTGCAGGAATTTATAAATTCAAACTTGGCAGTTATTTCAGCCCCTTCTACACCAACATATTTCCCAAACGACATAAACAGACACCCAGATATTCTGGATATCGTATTAATAAAAGGCATATCTGTAAACATTACACAAGTAGTGCTCCCTGAACTAGATTCCGACCACAATCCAGTTAAAATTATTTTATCCATAGCTACCAATGCGTACGTATCACCACGTAAAAAATTAATTAACGGAAAACCAAATTGGTGTACATTTTCCCAACTTATAACTGATAATTTACAAATTCCAAACAAAATTAATTCAATGACTACTGTCGATTATGTAATTAGTCATCTTATTGATATAATCACTATGGCCACCCTAAACTGCGTTGAAAGCTCACAAAATCGTCCTACATACAGTTCGATCCCTAAATGATACTAATTCTTATTCAACAAAAGCACACAGTTAGGCGTTTGTGGTAACAATACAGACGTTCGGAGGATTGTCGATTACTTAACGCCTTAACACAACAAGTACGCGATTCAATAGATAACTATAGAATTAATTCTTATAAAAAATATTTATCAGAAATCCACCCAAATGATCCTAATCTTTGGAGATGTACGAAAAGACTGATAAAAAAAGGACTAGAATAATATTCCTCCCCTTCATACTTCAACACAATCCGCATCTATAACTGATGAGGAAAAATGTGAGCATTTTGCGGATACTTTAGAAAGCATATTTATACCTAACGACGTAAAACATCAGCCAACCTATAATTTAGTAAAAAACAGCGAACTATGGAAGATTTCTAGATCAAAATATGTTTCCATATATTAACCCCATGGAAATTAAAAACAACATTAAATCATTGCCGTATAGAAAGTCACCTGGTGTGGACTTGGCCAAACGCCGTGTTTTTATGACATTTAATTGTATTGAAATATAATAGCAGCATTGATTAAATATTATTAAATATATTTAATCGATGATAGCAGTAAATAATACACAACGTTTCATCTTAGAAACCTCTGGTTTATTTACAATAATTGAAATACGAATTGAAATAAACGTAAAAATATCCTAGACAGTTTCGCGAACCGATGTTGCTGTTGATTCATCATCAACAACTAAAATCGAAGGTATCTATTAAAACTATTAATTTTTTTTACCAGAAATAATTTTTCCGGCTATCGATTGTAATCATAAATCGCAGTTCGATGCGTCGTAATTATATGACTAGAAGTATACGGAGAAAAACAGTTTGTGATCTCTGATATGTACCGTTTTTTTATTAATTCGTAAAAAATATCTACTTTTTCATATTATGTTGAATTACAAGGTTTAGACTTTCAAGTCTTCGATTTATTTTTATAGATGTACGATTAATTAACTATTTAGCAGATTCAGAGGCAGACATTGTGAAGATAAAAGAGATGTATAATAAGTGCTGATAAAAAATATCTACTTTTTCATATTATGTTGACTTACAAGGTTTAGACTTTCAAGTCTTCGATTTATTTTTACAGATGACAGTTAATTAACTATTCAGCATATTGGGAGGCAGACATTGCGAAGATAAAGGAGATGTATAATAAGTGCTGATATTGTTTTTTGATGTTATTAAAACATGTGCTATTATATCAAATATCAGATAATATTAATAATTAAGGACACTGAATTTTCGATTTGCCGTTTCCCGGTAGCAATTTACGTTCACGCAGCTGAGTATAAGAATAAGTATTAGTGTAAGACGCTTGTAAGACATAAAAAATGAAACAGATACAATTTAGTATGTAATTTATTCAGTTAATCGAATAAATATGAACGATATAATCAGAAGTGTCAAATAGTATAATATACGTCCCGCCGAGGAAAACTTTAAATTAAAGTATTGACTAGTATAAATTCAAATTTAAGAACATTCCACGAATTTAATTTTTCGACACGAAATCCATTTTTTTTGCCATTTATTTTACCTATACTATCATTATCTAGCAGCTCGCAAGTTTACCATTTAAACACTGTTAAGCAACCTACTTTTGGGTCTGGTGGTTATAAAAATAAAAACAATTTCTCGGTCAAACTGTACGTGAATTGAGTACCGGTGTATAATACATTTTTCGATTTATATTTTCTAAAAATAAATTTTTGTAAGTTTATTTATTTATTTTTGTAAGTTTCATGTAGTATGTTATGTTAGTGGACGGGTTGGCGTAACCTTTAACATTCCTCCCTTATTCCTAAAATATCGAACGTTACGCTTACAGCCGGGAGTGCGTATTCTAGCCGAAAAATATTTCAGCCGAAAATTAAATGATCTGACTCGTAATTTCTCTGAACCGTATTTTAGCCAAATCGTATTTGAGCCGACAGTATTTAGGCCGACACTCCTAAAATATGTTATCTCCTACTATCTTATACCGTATTACTGATTAGGTTAGGATAGCTATATTATTTAAAGATACAACATGATCTAAGATATTTTGGCGCCCTTAATCCCCTCCTTATCTAGTTTGAGTAGTAGTAAAATTAAGTTTTTTAGTAATTTTAAATAAAATTTAAGAAGATATTTTGTATTATAACTTTAAACTTTATTGCCTGATTATATAATATTGTAATAAAGTTATTAACTTATATAACTGTAGATTGTTAATGCATATTAAAAGATAAATTAAATAAAAATAATTTTCAGTTTGGCGGTTGCCGAACTAACCCCGGTCGCCCATAGCTTTAGCCGGTTCTGACTAGTACCTATCTGACTATCATAACATAGTATCTATAACCGTGGTATAAACTATTACCACAGTATGATATTACCATGCTCAAATGACAAATACTGTCGGTTAAAATACGGTTCATACGAAATATGTGTCGGTTGAAATACGGGTCGGACGAAATATGTGTCGGTTAAAATACGATTAGGACGAAATATGTGTCGGCTAAAATGTTTTCGGTTGAAATAATGTCGGTTACAATATTTTCGGCTATTTTAAAGCTCCTCTTACAGCCCCGGTAGTTTAGCCTCAGGACGGCGGACTTATGTTTCCGGTTAAGATTTTGTATTTTACAATCGTCATCACGAATAGATACGCGTGACACGTGTGTAACATGACGCGAAAACGTACTTCTCAGTATTCGCACGCAATGTAAATGACTGTTGAACATATATTTTGAAAAAAAATAAACTCGTTCGGTGGCATTACGATTTGAAACGGAATAAAAACCGTCTCGCGCGTTCGCTTTCGTACCCGTCCTTAGGCGCAACTATGGGGGGGGGGGGGAGCGCAATAAGGGTTTTAGCATCCCTGAGTTCAAACGTAGCTTTACTTGCTTTTTTCAGATCTATATAATATGTAATAGTTACACAGTTATATACCATTTAATTTTATTTTCAGCAATTTCAGCACCCCCGATATTTGAGCTCTAGTTGCGCCCATGTGCCCGTCAACCATTCGGTTAGTGCGAAACGCTTGTTCACGTTACCTTCGTCGCCGCGTAGACGGCCATCAGCGGCATGGGCTGCAACTCGGCGCTGGACGACACGTTGACGATGGCACCACGCTTCCGACCCTGCATGGCGGGCAACACGAGTTTCGTCATGTGCGTGACTGCGCCCACGTTCACGTTGACCAAGTCCCACAAAGTGGAGTCCGGCACCTCGGAAACGTACATAGGGTACGGGTAGTTCATGCCGACGTTGTTGACTGCAGAACACGGCCGGGATCGGAAACGGTCGACGGGTAGGGGGGTAAAAAAAAATGGAAAAAATAAATATACAAATAAACACACACACACACACACACACACACACACACACAGGGTACGCGCGTGTGCAGGGAAAACGATTTCAAAACGCTAAAACGTGCGCTGATTTTGCTTTACTAAACCGTATTTTATATCTTATCACAAACGTCACTGACTCAGTATTCCAATTTCGACGCCCTCCAGCTCCTTGGCGATGTGATCGAACACCATCTGGCCTTTGCTGAAATCCGCTTGGATCGACTTGACGTCGACTCCGCAGTCTTGTTCTGGAAAAAAAAACATAATATTATCGCTGTCGCTATAACGTGAAAAGACAAGCGAGACACCGTACGTAAGTATCCTGTGTTGTTAAATATGATTTCCGACGACGTTTTGTTTTGATTTCTCATGGTAATTCTCAAAACACATTTGGATGATTTTTTTTTTCAACCGCTTTACGTCGATCGGAAAAAATATTTTAAACGTTTTCGCAAGAAGTAAAACAACAGTTTAATTTTAGTTTCAATGAAATTAATCGGGATACAATAATTAATTTCAATTTGAAACTTCGCCGGTTAAACAAATTTTGATAGATTATTTTTTGAAAATATTTACGATTTTTTGTGCGATTTATTTTATTCATAGTTTCTCATAATACTTCATATTTTATAATTTGATTTCTATTTATGATGATAGTTTGATTATGGTTATAGGAATATCCAAAGCGCAAAAAAGGTATTTTTGATTTTATTTAAAATATGTTTATACAATGTGTAGTATACATGATTATGTTTTTATTTTCAAATGCCTTCACATAGAACAGAATAAAAAATTACATATAGTATATCTTATGGATAAAAAAAAAATAAAGGAAAGTTATTGGGTGTTGAAGTTTTAGCTTGCAAGATGTTTGACAACCATATTATCGACATTTCTTTGAAATAGTGTAAAAATAATGTTATGTCATGTTTTCACTGTTGACTTACCTATTTCTGAAGCAATCTTATGCAATTTATCAATATTCCTGCTTATCAATACAATGTTAAGACCTCGCTTGGCTAATTCCTTGGCATATTCTTTCCCAATTCCATCTGTAGATCCAGTGATCACTACAGAAAAAAAAAACGTATATGATGTTATAATTTTACATATAATACAGAAAACTAAAGCGTTTTGTGTCTTATAAATAATGTTTATTATTGGATTGTGAACACTCAAGTTTTTACTGATTTAATACTCATTATTATATTTTATATCCTACTCAGAAATCATTGTATAAAATAATAAAAACAAAAACATTGAAAAATATAATGACAGAGAAATATTATAATATTATTTACTTAATAATAATTAATCGAAAGAGACTGCATGTTTTAGTTTTCTTGAAGTGGTGAATTTACTTTGTGATGAGGGACCGGTTGTTATAATACCTGAAGGTGACCGACTAAGTTGAAAATTTTTGTTGTAGCACGCAACAATAATTCTTGTTTTTTTCTCACAATTTCCGTCTGTTTAAAGTATGTAATTTTACCGATTAATTACTACGTCATAATATACTTTATATACTACATTTCAGTTCATCTTACGTCGTTTGACATGACTTGTTTTCAACTTGCCTCCGTTATGGACATACAAGTATAAGAAGTTGTTATAAAACTAATTAAATCTCTTTATCTAAGCGCGTAATATAATTTTTTTTTCTCAACAATAAGTTTATGTGAGTTACAACGAGTTTTTAAGTGCGGTCTACCTACGGTCTTATATGGCTTATTACAATGCGTCCGGCTTTACATATTTTTTTTTTCTTTTGTTTTTACTATAATTTTTTCTATTTTATTGATTATTAAACATTTTACTGTATTTTATATAACCGAAAGCAAAATAATTATGTCTTAATGGCAGTGTAAAGTATTTGAGTAGTACTGGTTTTTTAAATAGTTTCAAATACTATATTTTAAATACTAATTCTTTGATTTTACATTTACGTTTGTTCACTTAAAGAATTCGTTTGTTGTCACTGCTGTAAAAAAAAAAAGCCAAATAAATGTATGTAATTGTAAAATAAAAAAAATACCCTATTATTCTGAATATCACATATACATAAAATCAATAAAAATCAATACATCTACATGTATGAGTTGCGCCTACCGTTTTTTAGCCTGTTTGCTATCCAAGGAAAGTCGACTTTCCTTCGATATCGTACACTGATAAATTTTATACATTCATCAGTTTTTTTAATTTAATACTATTCGTGTGTTAACGTTATTTTTCATATTTAAAATGTGTTGTACAGTTCTTAGAATTACACTGAATAGCTGTTGATTGTTTAAAATCGAAGAACTGTCTGTTTAAAAAAGACGAATTGCAGTTAAACCTTCCACGTGTAATAATTGTAATATAAGAGCTTAAATATTATGATAACTGTTCAAGGATACGCTGTCTATCTATGATATAATTCTATACAAGAAAGATTGTGTACAATGCAATTAATAATGCGGTCATCAGAAAGTGAGTTACGGTGTCACTTTCCGTTTTTGTCTGAAGATAGTTTCAGTGTAAATGTGCAATTTAATTGTAAACTGAACCCGTACCCGTAAAATTATTTTATCCCATTTTTATTGTGACGAAATACTGTAGATGGTTAATGGTTAATGGTACGTTAATTTATTTTCATCAGAAAAATAATTAGTACACTATTATTAGTTAATACAATATTTATATGTTTTAAAGTGATTTTAACATAAAAAATCACTATTATTTTTATGATAAAACAATTTAGAACATAGATTTCAATTTTTTTTTTTACATGTTTTGATGCCCGTTAAATCTGCATCTTGCAAAATCTCCGAAACATGTGCACATATACACATATATAGCTGTTAAAATGTTGAAAACAATTCTGTTTGCGAAGACGTTTTGTCGGATGATTCCTTTACAATTCCAATATTGCACTACTTCCTGGTAAAAATACCCAAAACAACTTTTTTTTTAAACGTATATGACCTTAAAAAAACAATAATAATAATAATAATAATAATGAAATACCAATATTACTATAAATAACTTTGAAATATATATATATGTGTTTGATTTATATCGTCTCGTTATGTGTTACATTGATATAATAGTTCATTTTAATGAAGATTTATTTGTAATGGATATTGAAATAAATGAGCACGTTAAGATTGCATTTGCGTTAAACGAAATGTTACTTTCACTCGACGTAAAACCAATTGATACATATATGTGTGTAGTCACGTGGACAAAAAAAAAAAAAAAACAATAAAAAATATGACACGGAATCGCTATTATTGTTTTCATAATTAGCACACAACAGCGCCTCCGGTTCTGAAAAAATTTGTGAACAGTAAAGACAAAATTCACGTTCAAATACCGTTAACTATTGTAGTGAAATCGTGTTATAATTATTTATATCAGCCCTCAAGCATGATGACACATACAAATCGCGTAACATGTTTATTAGTGAGTTTTTACGAACGTGATTTGTTGAAATGTCCGTATAATAGATTTCGTATATCTTTATGGATATACTTATGACGAATGCTGAATAGAATACATATAATGGATGACGGGTATCATAATTAGGCGTAACCTTTTATGATCTCAGACACGAGCCGGTGTGTCATAATCAATTTGCAGCACTCTTGAATAAATGTGTTCAAAAACAGTATTTTGATAGATGATCGGCTTATTGTAATATGTTTTTTTATTTGTTATTTAAAGAACTTTGTTCAATTATTTAAGTTCGTATATTTTTTTGGATGAAATAATATTTTTTTAAATGTATTACGTAAAAATAGAAATAAGTGATTAGCATTAAATTGTGAACGTTGAGGTCTCTATGGTTGAAATCTTATATTTTATAAAATTTAACTAAATTTCACCTTTTCGAAACTTTACAAAAGATCTAAAGTAGTACATAACTATTTATATTATTCGTTCAATGTATTCTAAGACATTAATGGATCAATTAATAATTTTTTTAATTTTTCCCTAGATTGAAATTTTCTATAGTCTTATGGAAAAATTCGTAAATATTATTTGGCCAATTTTAAGTAAAATTATAATTTTTTTTTACGAAAATAATAATAGAAAACTATTATTGGAAAGATATAAACATGATTTTTCCCAAGTATTACGATAAAAAAATATATAATTATAGAACTAAATATAATATTATTATAAAATTAGCCTAGGGTTATGCAATTTAATTTAAAAAAATTAACAATTACGAATTAATAAGAATTTTGTATATTAACATATGAATCGGTTTAAGCAGATTAAGCTAAGACGACAAGAGATTACAAGGTAATCATAAAAAATGCATAACAAATTATACACGCCACTTTCTACATGACATTTATCAGATAACGTTTTGATTAATTACAATAGCTATATTTTTTTTTCAGACGACTCACGATCAGATAGGTAGTGTTTTTTGTTTAACCGATTATCGTGATTAAGACTTTTTATAATCATCGTATACAAGTACTCTTACAGTGATTATTTTATATTTATCTATATTCCGTAAAAAGCGAATTTCCATAGTGCTCTCTGTTAAAATGTAGAATTTTTCTATTGCCGTTAGATTCACGGGACGTGGGTATATTTGTGTACTGCTATGTACGTCACCCGTAGTCGTGTTGAAATCATTCACATAACGAACGTATTGATTACATAGGGTTCTTTATTTATAATTGTAAGAGTAAACATGTTTGCACAGATCCCATAGGGAAGTTGGGTAATCCCACTTGATTAGGATTTCGCTATCTTTCTCTCTACCTCTGAATCAGTTTGTCTCACGGACTATGTGCCTATCAACCATATACACGTACGCATTATATAACTCGAACACCTACGTGTAAAATATTTTATACACGTTACGTTTATGAATGCATGAATAAATAGTTCATACGTAGAAATACATAAATAAATAAACGTATGCGCAGCCTGGTCTTTGACTTTGTATGTAGTTGATTATGCGTTTTTAATTCGAAACTGGTCGTACATTACACGCATAATAATACTCCAGCCCACGCATTAATTCATTTATATATTATTTTAGGAGTATTAACCATTTATTAATTTTTATTGCATTTCATAATTTTATTCGTTCAATAAATATGATTTGTCATGCCGATTAAAGATATTCCATTAAAGTCTTATCTTATTATAGTATAAAAAAGTGCCAACAACGACTTTTAGATTTGGTACATAAGATCTAAGCATACCGGTATCGGGTTCAATTCACTGAATAAAACGATGAAGTAAGTAGTTTGTATTAAACTGGGTTCTCGCGACTAGCGTAGACGACGAATAAATACAAATCGAACGAATTGGTCCAACGAATATAAATTTTGATAATAAAATCACTTTTGACTAGTGTCACATTTACCGACAATTCGCGGGAAGGTGGCGAATGACGAATAGCAAATATCGAATACCGAATATTCATACAGTTACTCCGTTCCCACGACGTGGCGAGTATTCATGGAATGAAATTCGTAATACGCTGAAAAGCACGTCGAATCCCTGCGGACGTATACAAACGTAAAACAACGAACAATCAAAAGCCGAGTGATCACTAAAAATCTTGAATGTAAAGTTATGCATTTATCATACTTTACATAAAACACAAAACCGTACGGATGTCGGAGAACGTGGAGCTCAAATTGTATTTACACGTATAACGTTATCGAATAACTTAAATATGCGCTAGTTTATGACGAGAAAAACCACAGTGTTTTAACAGCTATGAGTTCTATACAACTTATTTTGCATGTTTAATGCATATTTGTAATATATTAGCTCGTATTTTTATTTATAGTGCATACTTTTACATAATAAAAATCCAATACTGTTAAAAATAAAATGTAATTACTAAAATGTAATTAGAACTTAGTAGTTGTTTTTAACCGATTCGCTTTTCTTATGTTTTAATGATTAATAGTGATAAAAACTGAATGATTTTTTAGAAATAAAAATAAAAAATTTCATACTGATTTAGTGAAAGTACCAACGAGTAAAAATAATTTTCAAGTATTTATTGATTATGAAATCAAAATTTGAAAATGGAATATGAAATACTAAATAAAATAAACTATAAATGATTAAATTTCAATTAATAATTTATTTATGTACTTAATAATGATAATATTATTGACTCGTCGAAAAAAAATAATACAATTTCTTTACATCGATGAAATCTCAGTCAAGTTAAAATCTTAACATTTAATGGCTATGCCTTTCGAACGATAATCTTATATAATGTGTGACTTTTGACCTGATCATCGTGATTATGAAAGAACTGTATAATTGTACACTAATTAAAGAGTTAAGTATTGTAATGCAGTTTGTGTGTTAAAAAAACTTATGCAAAAGCGTTGTTATACTTATATTTAGTATACAGTTTATCGAAAAGCAGATAATTATACAAATTAATCAAATACTGGTGAACGATTCGTTAGTAAACTATTGAACATTAAATATTTTATGTGAAATTAAGTATCACGACGTATTTAAAAAGTTTTGTAAATATTTACTTTAAACGTTGCTATGAACTCAGTATAGCGCCTATTGGAATAATAATGATTAATTTTTATTATGTTACTTTGTTTATTTATTTAAATTATATTTTCCAATCATTATACAGTGTTGAAAATTATGCATTGGCTAATATAATATATCTAATAGATACTCTTATGCAAATTTGCATAACTCAATATTGATAGATCAGAAAAAAAGATGAGTTTCTTCAAAACGTTAACTAGGTACTTTATCCACAATATAGTTAGTTTGATGGATATTTTACTTTGCGTTTTATGAAATTTGTAGTATTTTAGTATTTTTTTTTTTTTTTTTAACGACTTAAAATAATATTGGTAATATTTTATGTTGCCATCGAAAACTCTATTTAACTAGCACAACACCGTATGATAAGCAAAATGAATTAACCGTAATAATAACGAAAAATGAAATTTTGTAAAACTGTTATGAAAGGGTTAAAAAACTATTTTGTTCAATTACATAGAGATTGGGCGAGTAAACGAGTGTTCAACGTTATAAACAGGTCATCGCGTACAAAATCGTATTTCATGCATAATAGATGCTTGAGCATGTAAAATCCTTGCATACATAAAAATCTCTCACCTGTCTAGCGTGCAATTTTTCACAACGAGTCGAGAGATATTTTCTATACACATAGCGAAATTATTTTCTGAACATTTGTTATTCGTCACGTGCTACACAACGATTTATCATGAACGATTATTTTTATCTAACCTGTTTGCTGCTTGCTTCATTTCAATAAGAAAATTGCACAATGTATTCATGCAAATGTTGCAGATATTTTCAAAACTAAAATCTTTTACGCGAAAGATCTAAAAAATAATATTATTTGTCCGTAAATACTTTGTTTGTTATTATTTAAAACGGGCAATTTAACTTTGAGATTCTCGAGCATGGGATCAAGCGATTATACGTATTTTATTTTGATAATTAATTCTAAGTACGTTTTAAATAATAATACAATCGATCACATACTTATTAGTAAACCTTGTTTTTTAATCAGACATGAATTTTTTATACTTTACTATTAATGCATAAACCATTAACCATGATATATTAGAATATTATCTTGATTATAATACGCGTTTGGTAATTATACTCCATGTAAGTAATAACTATCTAATATTCTAACATTCTAGTAGAAAGTCGATCGATCCAATTGATCTTTTTTTTGTTTTCTTTTTCAACATGTACTCTTAACAAAATATTTGAATACATTTTACTAATACTAAAAATAATTCATGTTTTAATATTCAAATCGTTGTTGGTGTGTTACTTATAATATTTAATTTTTTTTTTTGTCATTTATTATTCAAGTATTATTTTTGAAAATGGTCATTAAGTCTGTCATTTATGTACATCAAGTGTTAAGTAAAATATTTGTTTCCATATATTTTAATAAACTATTAAGTAACATAATAATATAAACCAATTGCTATACCATTTGAGAACATGTTTCAACCTTTTTTTAAGCAGTTTATTTATATTTAAATGTATAATATTTTCTGTACATACATTTATTTATAACAAGAACTAGAATAATTTTGAAATAAGTCGTAAGAATAAGTATTATCTTTAAAAAATCATACATGTCGACGTGTTGTCGAGTATTTATGTTACACCCGGATACATTGGCATATGTTGTTACAATACAAACAAGCAAAATTCAATGTTTCTCTAACAGCGATTTAGCTATCATAGAAAAATTAATAAAATTTAGTCAAAATCATATCAACACTGATTCTGATTTTATTAAAATATTTACACAACATTTACTAAGATTGTTACCATGATTTTTTCTATGAATTTATTAGGACAGTCAAATTATTGTTATGGAAATGGTGCATTTTACTCTTTTGTACCTTTCATCATGACAAGTGTGATATGCGAACAAAAGTTTAGTATATGTTTAGGTTAGGTTAGGTTAAGTTTTATAACTATTATACAAATTTATAATTAATGGTATTTATTTATACGAAATAATATCGTATTTATATAACAAATATAACCATATATACTTTTCTTACTTATTATATACATACATGTGGTTATTTTAAAATAATGTGATAAGTATCTTAATATTATATTTACTCATATTTATAGTACCTAAATTAAAATTATAAACTAATTAGCGTTCATATACATTTTTTTTTCATGGATACTTTATACACACATAATACATATTGTATTAATAACTTGGTATAATACCTGATTGACGACTTGTATAAATGTTGGAAGTAAATATAGAAGTATAAAACTACATGCATTTTAATATAAAATAAGTAACCTTGAGAATCGATTGAAAAAATATTGTTTAATTATGCATCACATATCCATCCATTTAAAGTTCAATTTTTTTATTTTATGCATGTGTATAAAATAATATAAATTATTTTAAAAACACATTTTATAAGGAAGCAGTTCTTAATTTGTTAAAGTATAATTTATTTCTAAACTAGATATGTATTATGAATAATTATATATTAAATATATATTACATACTATAACGTTATGAATATTGAATAGTAATTGATCAAAAATAATTTTTTTTTATGCCCATAAAACTTCATACCTACAAAACTAAATGTAATAAAAGATTGTTACCTATAACTAGTAATAATCGTTATGTATTCTATTAATTTAGTATGTTTTATTCGAACTAAAAAAAAAAAAAAAACTGGTTTATTTCCAGACTATTTCCTTTATTAAAAGATTCAACGCATTTAAAGCACGTTTGTTGAGAAGAATCGAGTATAAATTACAGTTGTTAAATTATAAATCTTTTATTATTGTAATATACTCAGCAATAAGTCAAAATGTTTTCTCTGTAGAGTGTAAAATATCATTTTAGAATTACTGGTTTCGACCATGTTACGTAAAAACAGATTTAAAAATTACTCGTAGTTATTATGTTCATTTCTAATGAACAATAGCGAAGATATGTATAGCAAATTCGTGAATTTAACATTTAAAACATTTAAAATTACGACATTAATACCATGTTATATCTCGCAACCAAATAATCACAGTTATTTTTGAAACCCACAATGTCTACGAAATTGTTCGGGTACACAAAGACCTTTAAAGTAGTGCTTAAAAAATAATAGTTTATTTATTATTGACGATGATCTGAAAAGTGTAAAGACGTCATTGAAAATGAGTATAAACGAAAAAAAATCCGTGTGAACATTAAAAACAAAAACTGGAAAAACTATTAGACGTACTAAAATAATATTATAAAAATAATTAATGTTGTATCAGACAGTTATATTTTTTTTTTTTATAAAGGACAGACGTGAAAAAAAGGTGTACTTTTTCCTGTTACCCACAGGAGTTCCTTCACCCATGTTTTCGGTACCATCGCGAACGGTTCCTACCGAACGAATGCAACAAACGTAAGACAATAATACTTGTACGCGGACGAACTAAAAATAATGATAAACATTTAGGGTGTAGAAAACGGATAGGCTACTCAAAGTAATAAGCCGACCAATTTATAGAACTTTAAGAATTGTCGGGCTTTCGGAGTAAAGAAACAAAGGAAGAAGAAAAAAAGGTGATTAAAATGTACGATGAAATTTTTTTTTTTTTTGTACGATTTAATTGTACCACCGAACCAACACAGTAAAATAAGTGACGAACTCAGCGAAATAAAACTGACAACAGAACGTTGGAAAAATATATCAATTCTAAATAGAAAATAATACGGGACAACGGACGGCAAACCGAGTGCGGAACGCGTGGAGTTTATCTGGCGCGCAGAGAAACAGAAGGTGCCGGGTCAAACACGACCGGAGTTCCTCTGTCAGGCCCTGGGATCAAACTATTCGGTCACTAAACCGCCTCGAAACGTCATTATATAAATCGATAGTTTATCGTAAACAAATAATGTACCGATTGGAAAACGATTGTGTACCTACATCGAACGGAAATGAAATTTCGTTTGGCGAAAAAACACGTGGAATATCGATCGCGTGGCGAAAGCTTGTTTGTAACGGAAAAATAAAACAACCGTCTAACAATGCGTGGACGGTACATCGTTTTCGGGCGCGCAACGGTTTAGAGAATATAACACGGGGTGGTACACGACGAAAACGTAACGAAACGATAACGGTGGTCGGTTGACCCGCGCGCCGCGCGATAACATATTACGAGACGTTGTTACCGACCTGCCCATTTGCCGTACTTGACGTTCAGCGGCGTGCGGTCGGGCCACAGCAGCGGCAACAGGTGCGCGACGACGCCGAACAGTATCTCCTGGACGGCGTCGCAGACCAGCGCCAGCACGGCGGCGAAACCGACGATGGCGAACCCGAGCACCAGGGGTCCGGTCATCGAGCCGTCCGCGGCCAGCATCTCCGGGAACGTGGTGTACGCCATCGCGGGCGCGCGTGTGTCGGCCGGCTGGACGTCGGCGGGTGGGCGCGTGTGTTCGCGGAGCGTTGTAGCGCGCGGCCGGCCGATAATCCGCTGGCACCGGGTCGGGGCGACTGAGACAACGACGGTTGGGCGGTAACGATCGGTCGGACGTACGCGGACGTTTTGAACGGTCGCGGCGACGAACGATTTACGGGCCCGGTCGGTTCGCGCACGTTCCCGCGGCCCGGTAACGGAACGGTGCGCCGGGCGGGTGAAAGCGAGTCGACGCCGCTGCCGCGGTGGCGCGCTGCCGGTTCTAGGAAACGCGTTGCGCTGCGAACGAAAAACGTAACGGCGGACGGGAGTGACGACGCGACGACGAACGCGCGCGCGTTCCGTTCTTCCTCTTTCACTTTTCGACACGACATACCTGCGCGCGCGCTCGGTCCCGTCGAAAAACCGATTGTTTCTCACCCGGCTTGCGTACGCGCACGCGCCCAGGGATCTGATACCGTAAATGTCCCTCGGCCAGTCCGGCCGATATGCCTTTCCTTTCTTGCACTTGTTTTCCTTTCGTTTCCCGCGAGCAATGTCTCCTGACCGCGACTCGTGTTTTTTTTTTTCGTTTTCTTCACTTTCTTTTTTCCTCTTGGCCGAGCATCCGGGACATGGAGTTCAATTCGTATTCGTTTCGTGTCCACTCGTGTCACTGGCCTCTACGAACACTTTTAAAACCGATAGTAGAAACACGCAGCGTTCGTTCGGAACGAAAACGTTACCGTGCGGTCGATGAAAAACGTGTAAAAACGTCTTCGGATCGTATACACCCGTATGTCATTGTCGTTTACTTCTTCGGAAAGACAATGGACCCCACTGAACAGGTTCGCGGGGCGGCCCACGAGTTCATGATAACGTCATAATAATTAGTTACGTATTAATATTAATACGATTTACATTTTAATTGTTTTAAAGTTTTTTAAACTATTTAAAATAGAACTAATGAAAACGTAACATTTAAGCGACAATAACTAATAGAATAATAAAAATAAATAAATAAATATGATTCGAACGAGTAATTCTTATAATTCGATTGAGAGAGTTGAAATTGCAGACGAAATATTCGTATGGATTATTTATACTGAAGAACGTATGTAAACAATGTACGGAAAAACACCAATGGACGTCCTCATGGCGAGAGGCGAATGAGGCAGTTGCTCCCCAGTTGCATTTTTCCCTAAAATAATTGTTATTTATTATTTATGAAGTTAACCCCCCTCTTTTTAAGGGTTTTGAGACGTCAATAACAACATCATAAGTTACTTCTGTATGACAGTTGAAAATTCAATAAAGGGAAAACATTCAGGTTGTGATATAGTGTTAATATATAATATTATATTATATATTATTCATAATGTTTATTGAAATACTTGTTCATTCGATTTATTTAAAACGCCTTGAATCTAAAGCCATATCTGGTAGGTTGAATTCAGGGACAGCCTGGCCCATCGGAATACCGGGAAGTTTCCAGTGGCCTGACCTATTTATTGGGATTTGTCATTGCCCTGACGGCCGTATCACTTTTTTTTAAAAATAATTAGTTTTTAAAAAAATTAAATCGTTAGTTTTTAACAGGAGTTTTTGCACTTCAAAAGTTGTTTTAAACATAGTTAATAACATTTCAGAGGAATATCCATGACCACCAATAAAATAAAAATATAATATAAGTTGAATAAACAAATAAATATAAAATGTATTATTTACAATTGCGTGCCCGCTGGAAGGTTAATATGGGTATTTTGGAATACAGAAAAGCATTATTATTATTGTGTATGTTTCGTCGACACAAATGAAGGGCCGGGGTTGCTGAGAAGTTTAGTCAAGTTATGTGTAATAGTTGAAGAAACTGTACACTGTGTTGTTAATATTATTGATAAAATGCAATTTATATAGTAAGTCTTAACAGTTGCTTATTAGTATTTATTGTGTCCTCCTGTTACCCAAGTTGCCTGTGATCGATCTTTTTCTAGTCTAAAGTATATAATAAATAGGTTAAAAAGTAAACTTACTAATGAATATACTGAAACGTTTATGTTAATGTCAGTTGAAAAAGAAATTTCAATAAATATTGATAATGATCGAATAATTGATTTATTGTTACAAAAAAGTAAGCTTTCAACATATCTTTAAAATGTCTTAACTTATTATTTATATTTAAAATATAAAATTAATTATATAAGCTTAATTGATGTATGTTAATTATTTTGGTTTGTTTATAAAATATAATTTATTACAAAAAATTCAATCATATAGTAGGTATTGCTTATTTATAAAAATCAATGGTTAATTGAACTTTTTTTTCAGTTATTTAAAGAGAATACATATAGTTACAGAGATAAGCGTAACTAGGCCTTCAGAATTGAATTGACATAAATAGACAATAGTCTCACAAAAATATTGATACTAATTGAAGGTTTATTTTTTTTATGTCCTCTTATACTTAATATTTTAGTTTTTATTATATGTCCTCTTATACTTATAATAAAAACTAAAAGATTAGATATATAAATAATTATTAAATAAATTGGTAGTGTTATGGGGGGGGGGGAATGAACACAAGCTCAGCCTTCTTCTACCTCCCCTCTACTAAAGTAATGGGCTATAATCTAAACATTAATATATGGCCTGGGTAATAAATTTTCTCAGCCTGAATTTTTCTCCCAGGCCGTCCCTGGTTATATTACCTAATTTAATTATATTTTGACTAACAAAAATATTATAATAATAAAGTATGGTTTTTGTTTACACTACAATTTGTATTTGTATTTTAATACTGAAATTATAAATTCAATAATATTTAAATTAAATCTAATTTAAATATTTTGTATGCATTGAATTATTTTCTATATCAGTGTTTAATATTTTTATATACAATCCATTACCAACTAAATTATATATTATATAGTATACTTTAAACTATAGCCCTTGACCCTAGACGCCATACGTTTGAAACAATAAGTATTTAACAATGTAATTTTTATTACTATTATAATTCATTTGTATTATAACTCTAACATTTGGATAAAATTATCATTACATTTTAATCGATATCAAAAAATATAAAATATAACAAAAAACATATTTAACAGGATTTTTTAATACATAGTTATACATAATTCTGAATATTGTTTATCTATTTGAAATGTATATACATATGTATGAGCACGTTTTTCTCGTGAAATACAATGTCGTTTATTAAAGTAGACATTATTTGTTTAGAACTATTTCCCATTCAAATATCGGTCGCTCATCGACTGAAATACTGAATATATAAAAGCCTATTTTTACATATAGGTACGTGGTTTTTTGTAAATTTTCATAAAATAATCATAATTAACACTAGTTGTTTATTAATTATTCAAATGGCAAGTTCTTTATTTCGTATCACGTCGATGAATTACCATTGTGTATATGTATAGATGTGCAGATTATTACTAAGATTTAAATAATTAAGTATAAATATTTCTGGTTCTAACTTTTAGAGAAGTTTCAGTTCTGAATTTTACTCATGTTTTCATGTAGGTAAGTAGGTAATTGATTTTTTAAACAGAAAATACCATTATAAATGTATTTAAAATATATAAATAAGTACACTAAAATAAAATAATTAATTATACTACTATTTTTATAATCAAACATATTTATAAAAATATGAGAAAACATAATAATAAATTAATAACATTTTAATTATAATAATCTTAAGTTCGAATGTTAGTTACTATTACTATAAGAGCATTTGTACTTATTTTTTTACATACATTTTTTAAGTATAAAAAGCATTATTTTTCTATTTTATATATATTTAACATTAATCAAATGTTAATAATTGATTTTAATAGACGCGATATAATTGCAAATTATTTAATCAATAGGGTATATTATTTATGTAATGTAAAAAGTAACAAAATATTTTTATTTTTTATTTTACCCGAGCTTATTTCATTGAAAAAAATTATTAAAATACACGTATAATATTTCCTCGGTAGTTGGTAGAACAGAATCACGATATTATATCCTTATGATATAATAATACAAGCCCGAGCAGAGAATCGTAACCTATAACGTAACTTTCTATTTTGTCTGGTGGATTACACAATGCCGGAGAATAAAAAAAAAACTATTACTTAACCGATTTAAAAAATGTAGTATGACATTTATACTTCGAAAATATGAATGGACATTTTGACCGACAAAAAAAATAAAAACTAATTGTTTTTTTCAATGTCGTTAGTGTAGTAAAATTATATATTAAACAGCTTGATGTCGTTAAATTGTATATTAGGCATAGAAAGAAATCACAAATAGATTTTTTTTTCATCTCATTAGTTTATTGCAGCGTTGTATCTATATAACACGCAATAGTATTTGATGTTCATATACAATACCGTTACTACAATCGGATTAAGAATCTCAGCATTACACCGAGTAAATAGTATACTCCGAGGAAGGTGTATTATTGTTTTAATACAATGACGTTTACTAGATCAAATGTGGCCAAATTTTAAAGATTTGTGATCGATATTTGAATTTTTCTTGGTTGTCACAATCGACCAAAAAAAAAAAAAAATAATAATAATAATAATAAATAAAATAAAATAAAAAGGTTACCACAGAGCAAAAATATATTTTATTAAAATATACATGCATATTGCATACTAAATTTCCTTCATTTCTTATATTTAAAATATTAATAAGTAATAATAACTTAAATTTTGAAATTTTACATAACACTTATTTTAGTATATTTTTCATCAACTTATACGAACATGACAAATACCGTTATTTAATACGTAATATCCATTAGATTACTTACATAGCTCCTCAATCTCAGTGTATAATTTCGTTTTTCATAGTTATTTATTACTATTATTATTATTATATATATTATTATATGGCCTTAATTAATTGTTATTTATCAAATTTTTATATTCGTGGATTAATCAAAAATATAAAAATTTATAAGAAAGTAAATATTTAAATATTTTTCTGAAAAAAAATAAAAAAAAATGAAGGAAAGTTGAATCATTATGATCGACTTCAACTTATATTGCAGTCGATTACTACCATTTATCTACTATTTATTTATTTTTATATATTTTAAATATCTGTAATACAAAAACTACAAAGCTTCGTTTAAATACCGAATGATATTCGATTTTTTTTTTATCGATTTCAAAGAGAG